TGTTGAAAAATTGTTTTCATGGCAAAGACTTTGTGGCTCTGTGACAGTTCTAGGTAATCATATATCAGTTTACAATGTGCAGAGGTTGAAGGGTTTGTGGTTATAAAGTTTTACAAATAAGGTTAGATTAGAGAGAACATTTAAAATACAAAATATTGCAGAACATTTCTTCATCTGACGTCAGTCACAATCATGTAAACTTGTATTTAAAATGTTGCACATCCTACTGTAATACTATTAAATAGGGATCATACAACTTAAATACAATATACAATAAAATCAAACACCGTGCTCAATAGTATGTCACAAGCTCTCACAAATAATATTTTAGTGCAAGTTCAAAACAGAATAAAGCTGAAAACAGTATTGTTTAACGTTACGATTTATACTCTGTGACAGAAATTTGATCTGAAAGCAGCCATTTTCTGGAACTGGAATACAGCAAGAGACAACTGAATTGTGATTGAATGTGTTGTTTACTTTCAGTGACAAAGCGAACAGGACAAGGGAGACAATGGAAAAGTCAAAGCATTTATTAATACACACAATACTGAAACAGGAGGATTACAGACGCAAAGGTACAAGTCCACCTTCAATGGCTGCTGTTTTAATGTACATTAAAAAAAAAAAAACGGAACAGCGTCCAGCTACTCTCACAGACAGAAACGGATTTAATAGTTCTGCGTCCATTATTCAATTAGACACAATTAGGCACAGGCTATTTAGGCAATTAGTAATGAATTTTTTTTTTCTGAATGTCTTTATATTAGAGATGTCTTGCCATGCTATGCAGAATGTTAAACAACAGAATAAACTGGACTGGAGTAAACAGCAAAATAAATAAATGTGCCCATAATGACTACAAAATAATTACATAAAATTATATCACTTAAAACCATTATGCATATTTCAGAATACACTATAAAACATCATAACATCAAAACATGCATTGACACTTTACAATAAACAACAGACATTTTATTTACAGTTATTGTATTTTTTATTTATTTAACCTTAACATCTGTTTATTATGAACAAACATAAACTAACAGTGGTAATATATAATACCACTATACTGTAAATATATAGCACCATTGTTAGTACCCTGGTATTACACCACAGAGAATAACCTTCTGTCAAAATAATAAAATAATTTGAATGAAAATATTTTCTGAAATATATATCAGATATAAACACAGAGATAGAGAATCAAACTCCAGTTTTTAAAGCTTAAATACATACTAGATTAGCAGTGTCCCGTTCAAACACAATTATATATGCAACACAATTATATGCAAATGTAATAATTTAACCTTCAGCATTACTTGTTCTGCAGAAATTCAGCCATTAACATTTTCACCCTCAAACAGAAATGAGCTGTGAAATTTTGAAACGACTACCAGTTTCAGATCTCTTTGTATGTAGTATGATCTAGCAGTATGATTTAAGTGTATTAAACTCCTCAGTGAGGCTGATGTGTGTCATTTACTTTGTAGATGTGCATTTGACAGTACAATGACTGCTAACTTACCTAAAGAGATACCAGGCTTGTTGGCACCAAAATAGCCTTAAATGAATCCGTCAAAACATTTAGATTCAGATGATTCAGTATATAAAGACAAACCACTTGATTTTACTCATAATTTAGATAAAAGAATATATTGTGGCCAAAACAGATACAACTTAATGCATAAGCACCTAAATTTAGTCATTTAAAGACTTCATCGTGAATGTTTCACATGACTAAAAAACCTTCATAGACAGTGTCAACATGTAAACTACTATTCAAAAGTTAGGGGTCAATATGATTTTTTTTTTTTTATGTTTTTGCTCAGAAAAAACTTTTTGTTATAGGCTGCATCTGAAAGCCTGGGCAGCTGACTTGCTGCCTCGCTGCTTTATGAGGCAATGATTTTGCAAGCAGCATTTTTGCACGAAGGCACCTCATGAAACTGATTTCAGACAGGTTTCTGAGGCAGTGTAACGGTTTAACGATCTACAACAAAATAGAATGAGTTTTGGTGATAACTAAATGAATATTTAATTATTATAATACTGATTTCTCGCTAGAAATAACATCAAAAGTGCAAAAAATTAGTCAGAAATATACATTTACACACAAACTGACCACCAAATGCAACTTTCAGACGCCATCTTTATTTTTTTAGCTCAACTGTCACGGAATGGAACGCACAGGATTGTGGGATATCAAAGGCAATGAAGGATACATCTATGCTGCCTTCAAAATTCGATCAGAAGAAGGTACCTCCAGAGACAGGAATAAATCAGAATTTCAATTCGGACGTGCCTTGATGCTTTCCCGCCTTGGAATGCTGCCTCCGAAGGCAGCATTTTAGAGCTTTCGGACGCAGCCATATTCTTTTAGCTATATATAGCTTTATAGCTGAATAATTTTTTTTTAATCTTCCTGACCCCAAACTTTTGATGTTGTTGATTAAACAAAAAAAGGTAAACTTAGTTTTGTCTCTTTTGTTGACCTCCCTTTTCCGTGTTTTAAATAAAGAGGCCACTGTCTATTTGTTAACACTGTTGAGACACTGTTGTCCATCTCATCCCACTTGTTTCGGTAACTTATATGGTTAACTCGGCAAAGTCTGACCCCTCAATCTCGCCCTCATGCTCTGTGGTTATGGCAGATGGGGTGCTGGTGGCCATACAGGTGGAGGCATTAGTCTCTATACTGGCTGCGGTCTCCGCACTGGTTATTGTCCCAGTGCTGGTGCTCTCTATGCTCCCAATGTGACCACAGCTGCCACAGTTTCCCCAGAAGCAAGGCAGAAATTGTGGCATGTCCTTGTAGAGCTCTTTGCAGCGCAGGCCAAACACCACGGGGCTCAGGGACTGTGCAAAACTGAAGAGGATAAAAATCGACACTGCTATGGGGAGCGCCTCCTGATGCCGGGAAATGATGATGAGAGAGGGAAGAATGTGCAGGCTCATCTGCAGGCTGTGGATGAGAATGGTGCGGCGGCCTTTACTGTTGGATCGTGTGAAATGGCCAGCACGTCTGCCTTCCAGGTAAATCGCCACGTAGCTTATGATAATAAGCAGCACCAGCAATAACAGCAATACTAAAGCGCTGGCGATGCATGCGGTGCCCTCCAAAGCTGTGGAGCACTCTGTGTCCAGCCCAACCACGTAGTCCCACGGAAAGCGCACACAGGCTAGGACGGTGAACACTACGGGGTTGAGTAGGGCGAGAATACAAGCCACCAATGTGACCCAGCGGTAGAAGCGCTGGACCATAATGGGGTAGCGGAGTGGCATGCAAATGGACAGACAAGTGATGATGGACATCAGTGTGAGGGTGATCATCAAACCTCGTGCCATCACCACCTGCAGGTCGAAGAGGATCCAACAGGTGATTCGAGAGATTGGCCAACGTAGGCTGCGAAGAGCGTGTACAACTGCGCCCATAATGTTGAAGCCGGTCACACAGATGCAGTGCTGACACAATAGGATGTAGCGAGGGTTCTCATGCAGCTCCTGGTTGTTCCGCACTGTTGCTATGATGAGGCAGGTAAAGAGACCAGTGACAATGAAAGCTCCAAAGTGGACAAATGATTTTATGATATCCAAAAGCCTATTGCTGTCAGCTAGATTGGAGCTGGTCACTTGAGAAAATGAAAAAGTAAAAAAACAATGTTAGCTAGATGGAGATTGAGAACATGAAGTCACAAATCTACAGAAGCAGATGACCGTGTTGTGTTCAAGAAAACACTAGAAATCTGACCAATACAACTTTTTGGAAAACATTTTACAGTTTAGTGTGAGAAAACTAGAAATCCACTCACCTGTTTGAAGCACAAAAGCCAAATCCATCCGATCACTGGTGTTAGTCATTTTTGATCTGTCACTTGTTACTGGAGCTTGATTAATAAATTGTTCAATCTCAGGAACACCTTCTTCCTCAGCTTGTTTGGAGCCAAAATGACCAACTTTGCCTTTCAGTATCCTTCCCAGTGGTCTTTGTCATGCTTATTCACAGATGCAGATCATCTGAGTGATTCTCACCTGCAGCCAGCGGTCTAGTCACAGCATCTCAGGTTCCCAACATCCCCCCACGCATAGTCTTTTGCCCTGTAGTGACACATTGCCACGCAACAGTAATCTACTGAGCGTATGAGGGGTGTATTTTAACCACATGCCCATAAATAACTCATCTTATTATCTCAAGCATACCGTTATTTAAAATTATCAAGGAGAGCTGAGGTGATAAATTCTGAGAATATTTGTGATATGATTGGTGTTGACAGGTTTAATGACTGCTAAAGCGAATTCTGGATTGCCATGGTTATCTAGTTATGGTTCAAAGGAATCCAGCAACAGATGACCTATGATGGCTAAATTGTGTTTTTATACCAGTGTTTTTACTGATAATTGAAATATTTGAATATACTGTATAGAATATATTATTGAAATGTGCTATTTATTTGAATGAACAAAATAGGACTGTTTTTTGCAACAACATAACATTCAAAACTGTTCTACATTTTAGGTTTTTATTCACAAAAATTGGCATCTGACAGGACAATACTGTTGGAACTGTGGTAGTTATGTTTGGTAAAGTAGAGAAAACACATGCTGGCATAATGTATTAAAATAACCCCAAAGACTGCAATAATTATGCCAGAAAATGAGCTAAATATGTGTTTGTTTTACCAGATGTGAAATGCAGCGTAAATATATATTTCACCTAAAACTGGTTCTTTGGCTCAAAAACATTTTAGATTTGAGCAAATGTAACAGTCGGTCAGATGTACAACAAAGTCAGTGTGTGCACACTATTTGCAAGAGTGAATCTTCAATGCAAGCAAAAATAGTGTCGTCTTCAATCGTTTACTCCAAAGGTACTGAAGAGGGACTTGGCTCGTTTTTATCCTCACAAGGCTGATTCTCCTTCTGCTTCCGGCGACTAATCAATACTGTTGGAACTGTGGTAGTTATGTTCGGTAAAGTAGAGAAAACACATGCTGGCATAATGTATTAAAATAACCCCAAAGACTGCAATAATTATGCCAGAAAATGAGCTAATATGTGTTTGTTTTACCAGATGTGAAATGCAGCGTAAATATATATTTCACCTAAAACTGGTTCTTTGGCTCAAAAACATTTTAGATTTGAGCAAATGTAACAGTCGGTCAGATGTACAACAAAGTCAGTGTGTGCACACTATTTGCAAGAGTGAATCTTCAATGCAAGCAAAAATAGTGTCGTCTTCAATCGTTTACTCCAAAGGTACTGAAGAGGGACTTGGCTCGTTTTTATCCTCACAAGGCTGATTCTCCTTCTGCTTCCGGCGACTAATCTGCATCTGCAGCTGCAGCTTGTTGGTGAAGAAAATTGTCCTCCAGCCAACCTCCTCAGCTAAAGCCTCCACTGTTGGTGTCACAGTGTCACAATGCTTCCTCACTGTCTGCTCCCAGAACTCCTCAGAGTTACAAAGCTGGAGAGAAAAAACCCCACAACGGAGTTAACAGACAACGCAGACAATTTACATGTAACCATTTAACACAGCAACCTCAAAAAGTAATTAAAAAATTGGAATAATGTAAAAATGTTAACATTTCATGTTAAATGTTTTGCTTGAAATGTGTGCTTGAGCTATTTTATTTAAAATAAAAGCCATTTGGATTTGTTAAACGACACTTTTAACAGCAAAGGGATTACAATAGGCCTTACCTCTTTAAACCTACGGCAGGTGCGTGAAACGACTGAAATGTCTTCAAGGTCCAGATGTGCCATGATGTTGAAAAGTAAAGCATTGGGGAGACGGACAATGTAATCATAGTGTCCCTGGCATAAATTTTGGGTGTATTGCAAGATGTGAGGACCAAATACCATGCCCACTTGATCTGGATGAGACAGATCAGATTGTTCATTGAATGAGCCACAGTTTACATTAGGAGAATTTACACACTTCATTTGAAATTTAGCTTAAAAATATGAAGTGTATACAAGTCTGGAATAGTAAGAAGCACAATAATATACAGTATACTAACACTGACTGAATAACTCACTTTGCAGACGATTGTCTTCTAAAAAGTCTTCATGTGATTCTGTCAGTTGTCCTGGTGGCGTGTTCCTGCAGTCTGATCTCAAAGATATCTTCCACCAGCTCCAAATTACCTGCAGTGAAGGATGTTTGTAATTATGATAAACAGTGTTGGGGAAAGTTACTTTTAAAAGTAATGCATTACAATATTGCATTACTCCATAAAAAAAGTAATTAATTACGTTACTTAGTTACTTTTTTATGGAAAGTAATGCTTTACGTTACTTTTGCGCTACTTTTTAAATCTGGACAGGGCTTGCTTTAATGCATATTCATATTTATTTTAGAACTACAGTAACATCTGATTTCTCTCAACATGGGGACAGGAGAGTTGTCAATCAATAAATTGGAAAAAAAAGTAACTTGCGTTACTTATTTGAAAAAGTAACTCAGATATTCTCTTGTAAATTAAAAAGTAATGCGTTACTTTACTAGTTACTTGAAAAAAGTAATCTGATTACGTAACTCGCGTTACTTGTAATGCGTTACCCCCAACACTGATGATAAATAATATCTAACAATAAAGATCTGAAAGTTCAGTGTAAATTACAGTGTGATCAATAACGCTAGTAAAGTCTATAGCCAAAAGTCTACAATCCCAGACGTGATGAAGACATGTATTAATCTCGTTTTTTACCACCAAGCAATTTGGTAACATTTGTGATTTGTAACTTGCAATTTGGTAACATTTGTGATTTGTAACTTAAAATTTAGCATTGCGTTTGGAAGGCCGAGAAGAGAAGAGATAAACAAACAGCAAACTTTTGGTCATGTAGCTGCCGCTAACTTGTGTTAACAATATAAACAAACCTGAGATTTTGTTATTGCAAAGTGGAAATAGTCCTTTATTGGAGCAGGACCTTGTCCACTGATCTCAAACAGAGTTTCTCCCAGTAAACTCGCCATTCCCGGATACCGTTGATGCGTTACCAGGACAACATAAACTCCAGCCTGCGTCATCTCCAGAGGGAACTATTAGTGTGATTTCACACTCATCCTCGACATATCAGATATCACATTCTGTCGTTGACTGGATGCTGCCTGTTCTTATTTATTGTATGGACGGACGCCTTTCTCTTTATTAGACGAATAGTCGTGTCTTCACGAACGCTGCGTTAAAGTCGAATGTGTTAAACGGTCGCCTGCCATCGGGAGCACGGTTTTGGCGTCGCTTATGTCAGGCAATGGTCATCTGAAACATTATACTGCATTATATATTATGTTCTAGTTAGCTAATAGGTTCTGCTCATCGGTCATAGTCCCTCCATACCACCTAGATTTGTCATAGCAAAGCATCTGAATACTTAAGTTACATCATTGCAGTATTTTGAAGGCTTTTTTTCCTTTTCTACAATTGCAAAGTTCCGTTTTATGGCTTTGTCACCGTATAGTGTCTATATGTTTAGTGTAGATGTGAACAATTAAAATGTGAAAAAAGTAAATGGTTCGAATATATATAATTTATTTTGAATATAATGAATATTGAATTTAGGACTCTACTATTTAAACCATAAAAATAACGTCATCATACATCTTTGTTGACAAAAAATAAAATGGATGATTTCATCTGGCAGCTTTAACAGAATAAATGTAGAAATCATGGACCTTTGATCATAGGTAAATGCGTTAATTCAAATTTTCTAAAGAACATTTGATTACTGTTCATGCAAGAACAGAGGGGTTTAAGTAATTGATGGGGGAAAAAAACAGGTGTCAAGTCTGTGGGTGTCAATTTGATTAATTAGTTCCAGCTGCTTTTTATTTGCTCCAGTAGTTGTAAACGCAACCTAAGATGAATCTGATTTTTCAGCATTAAATCTTTCTCTTCTTTGCTATTATTTACATTCCTACTTGAAATTACACTGCCAGCTAAACGTTTACAACAATACATTTAATGTCTTATAATTTAAAATTCCATTTTCTATTTTAATATATTTTAAAACGTAATTTATTCCTGTTTGGCAAAGCTGAATTTTCAGCAGCCATTACTCCAGTCTTCAGTGTGACATGATCATTCTAATATGCTTATTGGGTGCTCAAGAAACATTTCATATGATCAATGTTAAAAACTGGTGCTGCCAAATAGTTAAAATCCTTTTCATTCAAAACCATTAAAAATATTCTTAATTATTCCAAACTGTTGTCCAGCAGTGTAGGGTGGGAGATATTAACATTGTAACCATGCATATCACGTAGAACAAACTAAAAACTCAAGCAATGCTCAAAGAGGTACAAAAAAATAAAACACAAACAGATGCATGTAACACAGGAGTTAAAAATCATTTAATATTTTATACATATATTTATATATGTACACATTAACTTGTATACCTGTAATGGTAACTTTTGATGTTGTCAAAAATCCATCAACGGAGATCCCCGCAGGTCAGACCTGCCAATTTCCCAAGGTGCAGCTATAGAGACCCAGAGGGGAGATCATAGAAAAGCGAAATCTACCACTTACATCTACTTCGGTCCTTTTGTGCTGTAGACACCTGCTTTATCTACATAGATGAGCTCCTCTGCCCTTACAATAGATGTCAGGTTTTAATCCAAACCATGTTTTCTTACCTCCTTGAGGCGATAAGTGGCATCTATTCCTCACAATGTGTTTTGGCCTCAACAGAACGGAACATTTCTGCTAGAGCAGGTGCTAAGGACAAACTGAAATTGTTTGTAACAGCTAATCACAGCATCCCTAGACACCATTGTGTTCTGCTGTTCTGTCACAGTTTCTCTTTGTGAATAACATGTTTTTAAAAGGATTACAAATGCTGATATGCACAAGGAGTTTACTGTCTAGGCATAAAACATTACTTATTGAGTCGAAGGCATAAATGAGGAGGGACAATCGTGGAGTTTTGTCCAGAATACACAGATGGGTGGGGAAGACTGTCACCTGCGTATCCACAGCTCTTTCTCTAGAAATGTCGAAGACTCAGTGCAGTAAATACAAAATCTGAATACTTTCAGATTCTTGAAGACAATGTTTTCGAGCATTGGTGATGCGGAATGTGTGTGTGACGCTGCTGAGATGTGGCGTAAAAAGCGCTTTAAAGAAAGGGGTTTGTGGAGGAACCTCCTGTGGGGTACGGTCCCGCCGGACCGCCGCCCTGAAGAGAAGATGACAAGACACGACAAAAAAGGGTTAAAATATAAACATTACATTCTAAAACTAGACAGGCAAAGACAAAAAACAAGTGTAAATATGGGTATGGCATACACAAAGTGGTAAAATTGGCTGACAGAGAAAGCCCTGAGTAGTGACACCCAAGTCGCTTCTCTTTTGTTCATCAAATAAGATAATTAATTATTGTGTATTCATATAATAATAATTGCTAGCTAGAATCGCTACTACTACTGAATGCAACTTTAATTTTTGTGGAATGTGGGACTTTTGACTAATGTTTTCAGCAACACAAATGGTAATTCACTTAAAACACAGGCAACAAAATGATATCTAAAAAGTGCAGTGAAGATTAAAGTGTTTTCAGCCCTGTAGTTTGTTTACTTTGCAGTTACTTTTGGGACAACAATGTTACAATGTTGCATTTATAAGGCAACATTTAAACACTAACCTAATATGTGTGCACTGTCTGTGTTCCAGGGTTTAGGTAAGCATTTTTGGATTTCAAGATGACTTTTGTCTTCTTTTGGTTAATCACCATTATTTCTGCATTTCAGTTTTAAACAAAAATAGAGTTTTCTTATTTTTCCAATTGATTTCTTTATTCTTTCATTTTTCCTTTATTTTAGGTTATTAACTATAGATTTTAACACATTACAGACTACAGCTCTTACAAGTTTTAGAACACAAACACAACAACTCCCAGCTCTCTAAACAAAAATGTTAACAAGCAGCTTTGTCAAAATTGCAGCTGAGGTAACACAAGAAAACTTAACTTTATATTGGGAGGCCTTTAAAGGGGTCATGAACTGAGAAATCAATATTCCCTTGATCTTTTGACATAGAAGTTGTCATTGTGCTATAAAAACATTCCGTAAGTTTCAGAAATCAAAACTTTGTCGCTAATCTAAAAACAGCTTATATTGAAGGCAGTCTGCCGAAAACGACAGCTTTCTATCATGTAATAGTGTGGCTAAACCCCGCCTCCGCAGTAGATCAACGCCTGCTTCTTTATCACTGCCTGTTTAGCCCCACCCACCGATCCATGCACATAGTGGCTAAATAACAAGAGAGGCAAACGCAGGTCTACGCAGAAACTAAATGACAAAGATGTTCTGAAGAAAAGACGTTGTGCAGTGCCAAGTTGTGGAAAAACTTTGCAGTCTTTGCATTGCGTTCCTTCTGATCCCAATGTTAGGAAAGAGTGGATGAACTATTTATTTTTTAATGTTCCAGACCGCGTCAGTAATAACTTGGTACTTTGTTTTCTTCATTTTACCGAAGATGATTAGTACTACATATATGTATTGTTGCCTATGTAGGGCACTCCAAATCAGTCATGTATCTTCCATTTCGGTTACAGTGATTCCTTATAAGGCAGTACTGCAGTCCACTAGGTTAATGAAGATCCAGACCGCATCAGTAAGAACTTGGTCCTTTGTTCACTTGGATTCACCGTGGATTCGTTTACAAACAAGGCACAATTTGACGCAGGATTTTCAGAAAGACTGAAACTAAAATACGATGCTGTGCCTACTATATTGAATCTGACGGTAATGTCGCACCACACAAGTGTGAGTAAGTGTTTTTTATTACATGGTCACTATTGCTTTGTCTCTTCTTACAGATCGTTTGATATGTATTATGTGTTTATGCGTTCTTAACCTAAATCACAGCAGCATCCATCTATGAAGGATGTAGGCTGTCAAATATTCACAACTGTTAGCCAATCATAGCAATGGGCGTTTACTTCTGAGTCTGCAATACGCAACGCCTATTCAAACAGAGCGTTCAGATGAGGGGGGTCAAATCAGGACAGGAAATAGCCCATTACTTCTAAAATATGATGTTTTTTTAATGTAAAAGTCTTGACAACATTATAAGTGGACATCAGAGAACAGTACACAAAAAACAGGCAGTTCATGACCCCTTTAAATATTATGTTGGATTATGGGGGGGGGGGCCTTTAAATATTTTGTTGGACTATGAGGGGCCTTTGAATATTGTGTTGGATTATAGGGGACGTTGAGTCCAAAAATTTGAGAACCACCGTTTTAAAGCAATGAATAAAGAATGTCTATCATACTTTGTATTTACATCCTAGCCACTGGCTTGCTTACCATGAATGGGTTGCTGGAGATGCCAGGTCTTGTGACCGCCTGCCCATAGTTGCCCATAGGTTTGGCCTGTCCATAGGCTGGAAAGCCCCCTGAGGAGGACCATAAAAGAAGAACGGCTATGGAGCTAATGTATTACACTGACAGACAATGCTAAAGCACTGAACCTGCTACTCCATCACATGCAACACCAAAACTCACATCAAAGCATGAAAATCAAAAAGAGCTGATGCTTAATAAAATACAAAACCAAGCCTTTCTCATGACTTATAAGAGTATGCATAAAAGAAAGGCATAAGCCACTGGGGGATTGGGCCACCTCACACACACAAAAACACAAATATAGTCTCACATACCATTGGGCTGTTGGTGGTAGGCTGCAGGTGGGGGAAAGGGACCTTGGCCAGGGAATTGCTGCTGGAAGGTCCCACTAAAACTGGTTGGCAGGCAGTAACTGGTTGTGTTCCCAAAGCCAGCTGGCATGCTCATAGAGCCAGTGCCAAATGAGGCTAAAGTAAATAAAACGAGACCAGAGTAGGAGTAGCATGTTTCATCTGCTCATTCCTTAAATGGACACACACATAACGGGCATGCTGATCTCGACAAAAGCTAGGTTTTACCTGAGGCTGCTGCTCTTCCATTGGCTTGGAATGGATTTGTGGACATGGGCTCCTGAACCATCCCAGCAGCCACAAATGGGTTTGTGGAGGGGGCAGCTACACAATAAAAAGAGTCGAGTCAATTAAAAAAATTAAATGTTAAAACTAACTTACTTAAAGGGGTCCTATTATGCTTTTTCACTTTTTCAACTTTAGTTAGTCTGTAATGTTGCTGTTTGAGCATAAAAAAGATCTGCAAAGTTACAAAGTT